AGGCGCCTGGTGCTGGAGCAGCTGGGCCAGGAGCCCGCGGCCCTGGCGCTTCCTTTAACGGGGAATTTGCTCCGATTTTAACAAAAACCAACAGCAACAACAAAGCGCAATTCCCAACCAACGGCCCTCTGGGGCAGGTGTCACGGATTCCGGCTGCTAGAGGTCAAATTCAGTACCTTAATCTGCTTAGTGGTACACTCTCGCCTGTCCCAGCTGTTAATCCGTTATGAATATTCCTGTTGGTTGACCTCTCGGTGAAATTTGGGTTGTGATCCGGCTGTCACCACGAGGGCCCGGCCAGCAAGCCTGGACTTCCTCTCCTTAACCCCTCTTCAGTTGTAACGCCGTGCGTGAGCTTCGTGTTCGTGTGTGACCCCTGCATCAGTTATCTCGGGCTCGGTTTCCTCCGTCCTTCCTCCCGCTCGTCGTGCGCTATTTTGATTTACCTCTGCAACACCCCTGCTCTGAGCTTCCCTGGTCTGCAGCACGGCATGCGCTCCTGTGTCTTTGGGAAGCCAACCCTTTCTGTGAGAGGCCCTCAAAGACTGCCTGGTTCTGCTCATTTTGGGTCAAACCCTGGCACTAACCCCCTCTGTTTTCCAGAGAGGTCACCGGGACGCTGCTGAGTGGCAGCGCCGAAACCGGACACCAAAGCCAGAGCTGCCACCGACGCTTTCGTCCTAAAGCTTTTTCCCCGCCGCGTGCGTGCCTGTGTGCCGACGCTCAATTCAGTTGGCTCTCTAAAATATCTGCGTGTATTTTGCTGCTTAAATCTGAGGAGGGTAAGCTGGGAAAACATCTGGTGCTGCTATGCTTGCTGTCCTGCACCTGCCTACCGTTTCTTGCCTGTTACGGTTCTGGCTTGACTGCGGGCAGAAGTGAGCAAGCAGGGTGGAAAGGACAAGTGCTCTTCCCTTCTTCCCCCCTGGAAATCTGTAAAACACTTTGGCTGAATTAGAGTGATCACAGGTCTTCCTCAGGCTCTTTGGAACAAAATCTTGTGTTTTGAGGTGGGAAGCATAGCTGCTGTCGTGCCGAGTAGCCAGAACTAGATTCAGCCAGGCAAATCTGGAAGCCTGGTTGACGAAACACCAGTAATGAAGGTGTATTTTTTTTTTTTTTTTTTTTCTCCATCCGCTGTGAAACTTCGTTTTAATCTGGTGAATGGACGATAGCTGCTTTGACATTGGGCTTCTGCTCGTTAAACTGGTCGGGGATATGGAAACTGGCCAGTTGGGTCACCTCCAGCCTCGGGTCCTGCCTTTTGCGGGAGGAGCTGGGTGGAAAGGGCAGCTCCAAGAAGAGCTGGCTCCAAGTGCCAGCACTTCCCCGGAGATGATCTCGCTCCAGCGCTTTCCCTTGGGCTACGGCTGTGGGTCGGATGTGTATAACAAGGAGTGTGGTTAACCCCAGGCCTCCCTGGACGTGCGGGGCTGCGCTCCACCAAGAGCTGCAAGGTGGAGATTGCTGGGGGACCTTTGAGAGGTCCCACGCTGGCTCTGGGTTGCTTTTCTGGGTTCTCTGGGCACAGGAGAGCCCCTCTCTGAGTCTTTCGACTGCCTCGGCCTTCTTGGGTCTAAGCTTTTAAGGAGAAGCAATGAAGCGGTCTGTCCTGGAGCCCACATCCCAAGTGCTTTGCACTACTGTGCCTCTACTTTGCGAGGGGTCTTCCTTGTAGACTGTTTCTTCTCAGCTTTATCCTGGTGCACGTAACACAAACAGGCGAGAAGAAAACCTTGGCCAAGCAGAGTGGTCTCAGGGTGAGTAACGCAGCAAAAATCAAAGCCAAGACCTTCTACATGGGAGAGAGGCTGACAGAAAAAGCTTCCACACTGGGTCAGTGTGACGAGAGTCATCCTCCTGTGGCTTGTGCAGACCTGGAGGAGCGTGCCCAGCTAGACTGGATCAGCTTGACGTGAAGGAAAACATGACATTCAGCGTTAAAATCCAGCTGGGAACAGTTTTTTTCCAGCACCCTTCTGGGCATGGTGCTTTGAAGTGCTTTTTCTTTAAACTCATATGACCAGCTACGTCGCTGCAAATGGGAGGTTGAAGGGCCAAAGTGTCCAGCTTGTGTTGGAATCTGAGTTTCATAGAGAGGATTTTCCTGTTTAAAACAAAAAGAGGATTCTCGGAGGAAGGATCAGAAAATCAAAAGAAATCAAAGCATACTTTATGGATTTATTATGGGAAAAGGAGTAGATGTTGTCGGCTAGGAACTAAAGAGGAAAGCATTGGGGGAACCTGATACCTTATACTGTTAATCTGGGCTGTGTTTCACCATCAAACATGCCTTATTTTGTACAAAGGTGCCGATATAAAAAGGTGCGGGTGGTTTTGACATGCAGTGGCTTGTTTGAGGCCGGCACTGGGTACCACACAGTGCTTTTTGCCGTCACGTCAGGGGAGGTGATGGTGCCGTGCTGGCAGGGATGGGGGAGGCGGACCCGGCCGTGCCAAGCGTCTTGAGAAAAAACTGCATTTCCCAGCCATCAGGGACTTGGCTGTGGGACAGGGTGGGTGGATTAATCCGAATTAAAAACTGATCCTAAGCTCACTTCTTTGTGCTCAGGGTTGATGGGAGCGGAGCGGGGGTGGTCTCTCCTCTGTGCTCTCCTGCAACAATTTCTAATCCACTTTTCCCTTCTCTCCCAACAGGAACTTGTGTGAGGCGACAAGACAAACATGCTTAACTTAAGGACTTGCATGGCAAAGCTGAGGCCGTTGACGGCCTCGCAGACTGTAAAGACAATTTCCCAACACAGGCCGGCAGCACCCAGGACGTTTCAACAGATCAGGTGCTACAGCGCGCCGGTGGCTGCCGAGCCTTTTTTGAGTGGGACTAGTTCAAACTACGTGGAAGAAATGTATTATGCTTGGCTGGAAAATCCCAAAAGTGTACATAAGGTAAGGAGCAACCTCACCAGGATATCACCTTCGCTTCTCTCTCTGTGTGTCTGAGCAGTGTGTTCAGGTAAGTGCACACGTCTCAAGGAGGATTGAATTCAGCTGGAGGGGCCAGATGGTTGTGGATGGTCCTTCTGCCTCGCTTTGCCCAAAAGAGATGCCAGCGATTCCTTGAGAAAGAGCCAAGAGGAGTTTCTCTGTTCAAGAGGGAATGCCGTGGGCTTGTGGGACGCGGGCAGCATCCTGGATCACGAGCGGATACAAGGAATGCCTTCTCCTGGGAAACCACCTTTAACGAGCTCCCAATGCTACATTTTTTCCAGCTCTGATGGCTCATCAGGAGGGTTTATTCTGGAGTGGAGGATGGGGGGAGGCAGGGAGGGCATTCTCCACACCTTGACTGGTTTCCTTTTTGCTTCAGGCACGGGTGGTGTTACACGTTGGGATAGACGGACTGTAGCTAAGCTTGACTCTGAGCTTGTGTGCATAAAGCCAGGCTGCTGATCTGCAGCCTGGGGAGGGAGACTGGGTCTGGTGGCCAGAGGAATTCCCACCAGCTGCTCCCGAACTTAAAATTGGGAAAGCAACCCAGCCGTGGGCAGTATGCGCAGAGGTCTGTCTTGATCTGAATTACTGAAGCTCCTCCAGCGAGGAGAAGGCTGGCTCTTTAACATAGAGTCCAGCAGGTGAGGGCTCGGCTGGGAAGAGGATTTCTGAAACCTGGCTGCACTTTTTCCCATCCACAGTGTTTCACAACAAAAATGTTCCCCTAGTGACTTAAGTCTCAGCATTAGCCGGGGGATTTTTAAGACAGTTTCATACATGTGCTGGTGTAGAGCAGGGATTTTCTTCATTCAGTAGCACATGAGCAGTCTGCAAACCAGGATGTGATGGTTGAATGAGCAGTCAAGGATGAGTAAGGGATCTCATGCCCCAACGCTCGCATCAGCGTTGAGTTGTGTTTTTGATGGCACCGATCCCACACATCCAAAACGCACTGTAGGGTACTGTAAAGGTCTTAAGGTAGGATCAAAGCTGGATTTTCACAAACAATGTTGACTTTACGCTTCTTTCGAGGCAAACGGGTGGCTGAGCCAAGCAATACAGACTCAGAAAGCACAAAGTGTGTTGGTTTGGGTTGTGCCCTTTGTCAGATAGTGACTTGAAAGCTACCTAAGCATATGCACGTGGTGCAACCCAGTCCTTCAGAGGCGGGATATTGAGTTAAAAGCCATGAATCTAAATGCTGTAGTCTAATTTAAAAATGAGTGAGGGCTACACCATGCTTGTCCCAGTGACAGGCACGGTTGTGTCTTTGGCAAAGAGACTTTGTGGTTCTATACCGGCTCTTTGAGCTACAGACCCTGCTCAGTCTTGAATGTTGCTCTGAGTAGATGTGAGAGTAAACATCAAGATTAACCGGGGCGGCTGGCTGGGAAGTGTATTTGGGTCCTGAGCCCAGACCTCTGGATCTCTTCTGGTCTTGTCTCCTCTTTAATGTAGCCCCTATGGCTTCATCAGCTTGTCTATAGGTAGGCAGTGCATGCAGTGCTGTACAGGAGTCCTCATGTGTGCTTGGCTGAAGAAATTGGAGGAGAATTTAAGTTGGAAGGAGCCTCTGCCTTGGCATGGCCGGCTTGGAGGTGGCATCCAGCTTCACAGCCAGACCAAGTCACTTGGGGCCTTGTGTGGTCAAGTTTTGAGCACCTGCAAGGGTGGAGCTCCCGCCACCTCTCAAGGCCCCCAGTCCAATGTTTCTGATGAAGAATTGCAAGTGTGTATTAGTCATCCCTGGAAATCAATGTCCTTTGAAGTACTTTTAAGTGCTTAGAGAGCAGTGCAGGAGTTGACCTATGATTTTTGCCTCCAGCGTGGCTGGGCATGGTTTGTGGCGGTAGGAAAATCAGTGTGAAATGAAACGGGGTCTTATCGCCAGGAAGCGAACCTGACATTAGTAATGTAAAAAGCAAGTCTTACAGGCTATGTTTTAACCAAAATCAAACTGGTGTCCTGCTTGGCAGAAAGGGGGTTGGACCAGGGGGGTTGGGCTAGATGATCTTTGAAGGTCCCTTCCAACCCAAACCATTCTGTGATCCTGTGAATACCAGCTCCAGGTCCCAAAACTTCTGGTAGGGTTGATACCTGAGGTTTGGCATGGACTTTGCTGTTGCTGCCTGATGCACTTGACCCTCATACTCGACTCATCTCTCCTGGGTGGATCCCACCTCGTTCCAGTGACCCCTTTACCAAGATCCCTTCCCAGCTCCGAGTTTTGCCCTTTTCTCCTCTCTGCACTTTTTCATGGCTCACCTTGTCGCCACTGGGACACTGAGCTGCTGCAGTGGGATCGGGGTTGTGGCTGTCCCTGATCTCGGCTCGCGAGTGGTCCCCGTCAGCCTGTGTCCCCTCCAGCGCGACTGTGGAACGTGTCACGCCCGTCCCTGATAAGCGTTGGCATCCATCCCATTAGACGTAGGGTCAGATCTGAGGATGGAGTTCCCCAAACCAGCTGGGCTGTCACAGGGACCTGCCTGCGGCTTATCTGTTCCCTGCACAGAGCAGAGACCGGCTGCGCCTCGCCGCGCTGCTGTTTGCTGGTGAGGGCGAGACCTTCAGCTAGGGAAGAGCTAGGGTTTCTTTGCTGTTGTCGCCAAAAACCTACGAGAACTCCAGCTGGCACAACTGTCCTGGCTGAGCAAAATGAATTTACTTCCTCCATGCAGACACTGGTGGTTTAAACTGCAGAAAATACTTAAGTGTTTGTTTAGAGTAGGGAAGACTTAAAACAAAACAAGCTATTTTAGGCTTTTTTCTGCGTGCAGTCCTTCAGCTGAACTCCAGTTTCTGAGCCTGATGAGCAAATAAGAGCAGAGCTGGGGAAAGCAGAGGCGAGGGTGCGGGGGGGGCAGTGCCGGTGGGCTGCCGCAGGGTCAGTGCTGCTTGTTCCTGGGACCGCTTCCCAAGGGAGCGGGGATGCCCTGCTCTTGCCCTGCGGGGCTGAGCAGCTCTCCAGCCTGGGTATGGTGCTGGCTGCTAGCAATGCTCGGCACAGCCCCTGCCATCTCCCCAGGACCAGGGCAGGTAGCCAGAGAGCTTTGACTACAGGTAGATGATGCCTGCGGTCATACATCTGCGACAAGTTTGGCCTTCCTAAACAGCAGCCCCTGTGTTTGGGTTGAACTGGTGTAAAGCAATACAGCTCTCCTGGTACGAATGTACATCAAACAGTCTTTAACATGGACTTCTTAATATACCAGTGGTTCTGTGACCACAGCGCGTGTAGAGCACGCTGTGTAACCCCAGCTTCGCTGACGTGGTGTCAGGAACCCTCAGTCTTCAGCAAGGCTGGAGCCCCATGCCTGGCCCTGGGAGATGCCTTTGGCTGCGTCCTTTGCAGTCATGCTCGCAAAGAAGGGCCCAGATTGAATTTGGTAGGAGTCTCGCTTGGGAGTTTGAAACGCTTGGGTTTCATCCCCCATCTTCAAAAGCAAGCACCCTGGAGAATTGAAGGTCCTTCCTCATTTATGTTGATAAGGGACAAGGCGATGTGCAGAGCACAAACTGATTGATCGCTGCTCGACCCCCTGCGCTCAGCAAAGGTTACCTGCCATAAGTTTGGTTCAGGCTCCTTCTCTTCCAGCCTTAAACTCTGAATATACTTCCTCCCTGCTAAAGCAGGAGGTGCTGCCTGGCTTGCCAAGCATGCGGAGCAGGTCTGGTTGGTGCTTTCTGTCCCCTGGAGTCCGTGGCAGGAGAAGGAACAGGGACGCAGCCTGAGCTGGAGGTAGAGGCTGTGCCTCCCTCGTGCACCTCCCAGCCTGGAGCAGCCCCAGCCCAATTTGAGGTTCCCTGTGGCAGGTGGGACGTGTCACCCCTCTCCCCTTGCCATGCGTGCCTGACCTCCGAGCTGGCTCTGTGGCAGAGGCTGGGACCTGTGGGTTCCTTCTCCAGGAAGCGAGTCTAAGTGAAGTGAAAGATGCTCTTTTCACTTGGTGAGCTGGTTTTGGGGCTGTTCTCAACAGAGAAACCTGCAGTGAGCTCCGCTCTCAGAGCGGAGCTCAGAATCCCTCTAAAGCCTGAACTACCCAGGCTTGCTGCAGTCAGCTGGCCCTCCGGTCCCATTTTGCCAGCACAGAGGAGCACCGGGAAAGCCGGTCCGGGCTAACACCTTGTGCTATGGCTGTGGGGGGATGCGTGGCTCTGGGACCGTCGCAGCAGGGACCTGGGGTTGAGAGCATTTAGTGTGCCGAGACTGGGGGGCTGCCTGCACACCTAGGAGCGGGGAGATACTGCCTTTGAGCCCTCTTGGTAAAAATGAGGTGAATCTGAGCTCTCTCATACCCAACATATATATTATACCCTATATATATATATAGGGTGTAAGAGCCAGAGGAGGGCTTGCAGGGCTGCCGTGGGCATGGAGAAGGTCGGAGGGGAATAACCTGATGAACTTTATTACTGCTGTTACCTTTGACAAGTGCTGGATTAAGGCAAAGTCCTCCTTCCCGCGATAAAGCTGATGGGGCTGTTCAGCCTCTCCGACAGGATACGTGAGCTCCAGAGGCACCTCCATAGGTTACCAGAAACCCCCGGGGTGGCCCTCAAACACCCTCGAATGTGAAACCACATCAGGAACTTGAAAGCTGATGTTTTTACAGCGCTTATCAGGGCCACAGCCTTCAGCAGGGACAAAGCCTGCAGCCAGCTAGCCTGAAATACTCTGTAATTATGTTGGGCAATAAAGCATTTAGTGAAAGTGCCTGAGCTGACCAAGCTGGTGCCACACCTTGTTTGGAGAGCTTAAAATGAACTTTTTCTTTCAAAACAGAAGCAAATTGCATCTCCAACAGGTTAATATTGTGGAACGTCAGAAGGGAGGAGGTCATAAAGGCAACCCCTCTGCCTCCTGGCTCTGTCCCTGTCTCCCTAGCACCGCTGCCAGCCCCCTCCCCGGGCTAGCAGATGCTCCCTTTCTCTTGCCCATCTTTATTTTCCAGTACATTAAACAGCCTTAAACCACCGAGCAAAGCAGCCAGCCAGATTCCTCCCCATCCCAAGTGCACGAAGCCCATCCCAGGGTGCTCGTCCCTCCTGCTCACAGGAGCCGATGGCTTCTGGGGCACCCCTGAGCTCTGTGAGCCTGGGGAAGGGAAGGGCTTTGGGCTGCTCTTGCCAGTGGCCAGGAGTAAGGATCATACAAAAAGCAGCTCTCCCTTTTCAGCTTCTCCCTTCAGCTTCTCTCTTTTCCTACTGAAATTTCCTTTAGCAGAGAGCAATCGGAACTGGATCGGGAGTTTTCTGTTTTTGCTCCCTCCCCCTTCCTTTGGGGTAGCTATTGTTTATCATTTACGGTACCAAATTGTTCCAGATTTTATTTATGTTCCTTCAGCGTGACCTGTTTCTAAATTTAGTCATCTTGCGCAGCCGTGTGATGGGGCGTCTCGGTAAATCCGGGCTGGAAATAGCTTCCTGGGGCATGTGATGGGTGCTGCAGCCGGAGGAGCTCCAGGGAAGGGGGAAAGCTGGTGCTCCTCTGGCAAAGGTCAGCTTTTCAGTCCCCTCCACCCTACTACCAGGGTGCCAAAGCTGCTTTTTCTGCCCCAAACCACCGCTGGAGCTGCTCTCATGGCTGTTTTTGACTTGGTTTAAACACGCTGGGGTCGGCTGGGCAGCACTTCACCTGTCTCTGCATCACCAAGGTCGGGTTTGGTGCTCTCCGCAGCCCCGAAGTTCAGGGGCATGTAGGGTGCTGAGCGCCGGGCTCTCGCTCCTGGCTGGTGGAGAGACCATTGGGCTGACACCAGTGTGCAGATCTGATGGGATTTGTTTGCTCTAGCTGGCGTCTCGGGTATGCACAGGCACGCAGACGTCTCTCTGCCTTGCCCTCGTCCTTTGCTGTCGCTCAGTGACGTGCGGGAAGCAGGCAGGGGTGTGAGAGTGACAGGAGGACGTGGCTTGGGCTTCGCTCTGCTGGTCTCTCCCCTTCCCCGGGCCCATTGCTGCCTCTCCAGGTAGACATATTAACTTGGGTTTGGCCTGGGACGCTTCTGGGCTCTTCAGGCAGTGCTGGATAAGTACCGCAAAGTTACACCAAGTCTGTCGAGGTTTTTTTGGGGGGGGGGTTGTTTTGTTTTCTTAAAAACTAGAAATGCCCATCTGCAGAGTGGAACAGGAGCAGAGGTGATATCTGCCTTGCTAAGGGCACGGGAGAGCTGGCATGGCGGTGTCCACATAGCGCTGGCGTCGGTGTTGCTGAAAGAATGGGGAAAAATTGAAGAGGGGGCAGAAAAAGAAAAAAGCCATTGCTGGCTGAGGGCTGGACAACATGGCTTACACTGGGACTAGGGTCTCAGGCCATTTGGACCACGGAAAAGAGGAAGAGGTGTATTTGATTACAGGGAAAAAATATTTTTCAGAAAATATTGTGGGTATTTGGAGGGCAGTCTCCTGCCCTGGAGAGAAGGAAACAAGAGCCTGAAACCAGGCTGGGGCTCATTGCTCAGAGTAGCGGTTTTGAGAGCCGAGCTGGGCAAGGGGTGTCACCCGTGTCCTGTCCTGAGCGCTGCTGCCGAGGGAGGGGGGACTTTGGGGATGGTCTCCTGCCAAAAGAAACAATCCAGATGGATGGGAAGTAGGATAATGGTGTAACTGGAATAGTGGGAGAGCTTTGGTGCTCTCCTGTCCAAGGCAGGTGGGTGCCTTCGGCAGCGGCTGCATGGAGCTGGGGCACAGGGGAGGATGCAGCTCTGTCCCTGGAGGATTTTACTCCCTGCTGTGGCAATAGAGCTGAGACCCCAGTAACCTCAAGCGAGGAGGTGTTTGGGTCGCGGGTAATGACCCTGTCGCCTCTTTTCTTTCCTTTTGTCTAGTCATGGGACATCTTCTTTCGCAACGCCAATGCCGGAGCTGCTCCAGGCACCGCTTACCAAAGCCCCCCTCCACTGAGTACCAGCCTTTCCACACTGTCCCAAGCCCAGTTCCTGGTTCAAGCACAGCCCAATGTAGATAAACTGGTGGAGGACCATCTCGCAGTGCAATCTCTGATCAGGGCGTATCAGGTAAGGAGACGGGCTTTGCGCCGGGGAGGAGCGTGTCCTCTGCAGAGGGGCATGCAGTGGCTGAGGTGGGCTGGAGTCAGTGCGGTTGATGCACGTGTTTTGCATGGAGAGCATGCAGGATGCATGCTGGGCTGCCTGGGTTTTAACAGCAGCTGCTGATCTGTTGGGGCAGAGGCTCAGCTGATGCTTTGCTGGACAATAGGAAGATTAAAGTTATTGTCACCCAAACAGCAATTGTGGTGGCAGGGAGGGGGAGGTCTTTTCCATGCAGGGTGGTTTGCTGGCTTCTGGAATGATGCTCCTGTGCTGTGGGCTCCTGCCACGCTCAGCAGTGGTGGGGGACACCCATCCTGTTTCCCCCATGTTGCTGAGAAAACTTCTGAGGTCCTAAAATAAAAGTTCAGGAAACATTTCCTTGTGATTTGCGACCTGGAAGAGGGCTGTGGTGCCACTGGGCTGCAACTCAGACCAATGCTGCCAAAGTTATCCTGTCAGGAGAAACAAGTTTCGAGCAGGAACGAAACATCCTGTAGCCAATATTTTAACTGGAGAGAACATTTAAATGTGTTTCTACGTCTGTGTCATCCTTTCACCTTTGGTTGTACTCTGGTTTGTCAAGTATGGGGGCTTTAATCGGGGCTGTGGTGAGAAGTGAACAAACCCAGCTGCCGTGGAGGTGTGACCATGGTCTTCTCACCTGTTCCTGCAAAAAAGAACCCGCTGCGGGTCATGTTCCTGCTAAGGTATGGGGAAAATCCAACGTACAAGGCCACAGGTTAAGGCAAGAACTGCAGCACTGGGCAAGTCCAAAGGTCTGCCCAACCTTGACCCTGCTCCCTGGCTTGAAGGAAGTGCCCCTGCCCTGCCCACCTCCGCAGCTGAGATGCTGACGTCAACGCTGGGGCGCTGCCCTGCTTTTGCTTAAGAAGGGGAAGGTGGGACATGTTTGTGAGGACCTGTGTCTTCCCTCGTGGCTGATTTCATGGGAGGTGGGCACCCTGCCAGCTCTCTCCGACTTGGGCGGATCCTGGCAAGTCATTTCTACAGACTGTGCAGCTCTTGCTGGTGGAACAAGAGGGCAGATGCCAAGTCCAAACAAGTGGTGACTGACGTAGTTGGAGGCAGCAGCTCCAAGTCAGCAATTTGAACACAAAATCCATAACCTCTTCTGCATTCCTGTCGCTTCCTCAGTCTCTGAATGGCAGCGCCAGGAGGTGATTGCTCTTGGATGTATTTTTCTAAGCTGTCTGCAGTGAGAAATCCACCTCCCTTCCTACTTTGGTATCTCTGTAGGGCTGTAGCTGCAGTGGAGTGTGCAGGTGGGGAAGTTCAGCACAGTGTATGGGAGGTACAAAAGAGTAGGAATGTAAAAGGAAACCCTGCTTGTGATGGGTAACCTACTTAAAACACCAGGCAATTAATTTCTTAATTGAATCATGCTGGATTGTCCCTGTAGTTATAGGTGAGCAGTGACCCTGCTCTGCTGTGGCATCAACGATGACTTCTTAGTGGCTGTGGTTGCATGTCCGAGTCATTATTTATTTTTGAATCACAAAATGGTTTGGGTTGGAAGGGACCTTAAAGGTCATCTAGTTCCAACCCCGCTGCCACAGTCAGGGACACCTTCCACTAGATCAGGTTGCTCAAAGCCCCTTCCAACCTGGCCTTGAACGCTTCCAGGGAGGAGGCATCCACAACTCCTAAGGGCAACCTGTGCCAGTGCCTCACCACCCTCACAGTAAAGAATTTCTTCCTAATATCTAATCTAAATCTACCCTCTTTCAGTTTAAAGCCATTACCCCTTGTCCTATCGCTACAGGCCCTACTAAAAAGTCTGCCCCCATATTTCTTATAAGCCCCCTTTAAGTACTGAAAGGCTGCAATAAGGTCTTCCTGGAGCCTTTTCTTCTCCAGGCTGAACAACACCAACTCTCTCAGTGTACAGGAGAGCTGTTCCATCCCCGGGATCATTTTCGTGGCCTCCTCTGGACCTGCTCCAACAGGTCCATGTCTTTCCTGTGCTGAGGACTGCAGAGCTGATGCAGTGCTCCGGGTGGGGTCTCACCAGAATAGAGCAGAGGGGCAGAATCCCCTCCCTCGACCTGCTGGCCACGCTGCTTTTGATGCAGCCCAGGATACGGTCGGCTTTCTGTGCTGCGAATGCACATTGCCAGCTCATGTCCAGCTTTTCATCCACCAGTACTCCCAAGTCCTTCTCCGCAGGGCTGCTCTCGATCCACTCGTTGCCCAGCCTGTATCCGTGTTTGGGATTGCCACGACCCATGTGCAGGACCTTGCACTTGGCCTTGTAGAACTTTATGAGGTTCACACAGGCCCACCTCTCTAGCCTGTCACAGTCCCTCTGGATGGCATCTCTTCCCTCTAGAGTACCAACCACGCCACTCAGCTCGGTGTCATCTGCAAACTTGCTGAGGGTGCACTCCATCGCGCTATGTCCCCGACAAAGATGTTAAATAATACTGGTCCCAGTGCGGACCCCTGCGGGACATGGCTCATCACTGTTCTCCACCCGGACATCGAGTTGTTGACTGCAAGTCTTTGAGCATGACCATCCAGCCAATTCCTTATCCACCGAGTGATCCAGCTGTCAAATCCATGTCTCTCCATTTTAGAGACAAGGATGTCATGCAGGACAGTGTCAAATGCTTTGCACAAGTCCAGGTAGATGCCATCAGTCTCTCTTCCCTTATCCACCAATGCTGTAACCCCGTTGTAGAAGGCCACCAAGTTTGTCAGGCACAATTTGCCCTTAGTGAAGCCATGTTGGCTGTCACCAATCGCCTCTCTATTTTCCACGTGTCTTAGCATACTTTCCAGGAGGATCTGCTCCATGATCTTGCTGGGCACAGAGGTGAGACTGAGCAGCCTGTAGTTTCCTGGGTCTTCCTTTTTTCCCTTTTTAAAAATGGGGGTTATGTTTCCCCTTTTCCAGTCACTGGGAACTTCACCAGTCTGCCACAACTTTTCAAATATGATGAATAGTGGCTTAGCAACTTCATCTGCCAGTTCCCTTGGGACCCTTGGATGCATCTCATCAGGTCTCATGGACTTGGGCATGTTCAGGTTCCTTAGATGGTCTTGAACCTGATCTTCTCCTACGGTGGGTGGTACTTTGTTCTCCCAGTCCCTGCCTTTGGATTCTGTGAGTTGGGCAACGTGGCTAGAACATTTGCTGGTGAAGACCAAGGCAAAAATGTTGTTGAGTGCCTCAGCCTCCTCCATGTCAATTGTAGCCAGGTCTTCTGTTTTGCTCGTTACGGGGGGAAGGTGCAGTTTCTTTCATCTTCTTTTGTTGTCCTATGTACCTGAAGAAACCCTTCTTGTTATTTTTCACATCCCTAGCCAAGTTCAGCTCCAGCTGTGTCTTGGCTTTCCTGATGCCCTCCCTGCACTCCCGGGCCACATCCCTATCATCTCCCCAGGATGTGTATCCCTGCCTCCACCGCCTATGCATTTTGGTTTTGTGTTTGAGTTTGGCTAAGAGGTCTTGACTTAGCCAAGCTGACCTCCTGCCTCCCCTGCATGACTTCTTGCACATTGGGATTGAGAGCTCTTGTGCCCTAAGAAAAATGTCTTTAAATATCTCCCAGCTCTCATTCGCTCCTTTGCCTCTGAGGGCAGTTTCCCAAGGGACCCCATGCACTAGCACCCTAAGAAGCCTGAAGTTTGTCTTTCTGGGGTTTTCCTGACTCTACTTTTTACCCGTCCTGTACCCCTCAAGACTGAGAATTTGACCAGGGTATGATTGATCCAGCCCAGGCTACCTCCAGTCTTGACCTCTCCGATAAGTTCTTCCACATTAGTGAGCAACAGGTCCAGCAGTGCCTCTCCTCTGGTCGGGCTCTCCATCATCTCTATTAGGAATTTGTCCTCAGTGCACTCCAGTAGTTTCCTGGACTGCTCGCAGTTCCCTGTGCCGCTTTTCCAGCAGATGTCCGTTGATGTGGTTGAAGTCCCCCATGAGGATCAGGGCCTGTGAGTGTGATGCTGCCTGCAGATACTTGCTGTGGTTTTGTTCTGGGTTGGGGGAAAAAGATCTGCCTGGCTTGCGTTGCACGTGGAAAATAACAAGCAGCACAGCTCCTATGGGGGAAAAGACCTTCTCCGACCTTCTCCTTGCTCCCACACCGATTTGAGGATTTGCCCCATACCTGCAAACTGCTGAGCTGACCTCAAAGCCACGGGCGCCCCCAGCTCAAAGCTATTTGCTGGAGAAGGTGGTCTCCTGGTCCCGGTGAGTGCATCCTGGCTGTGGGGAACAGCGTGGTGAGCTTGCGTCCTGCCGACTGCTAAATGATGGGCTAGCCCCCACACTTCGTTGCAGGATGGACAAGCAAATAGTTCCCAGACAAAGCTGGCCCAGAAGAAGAGCTTTCCGTGTGGCCACCAGTGCTCGGGCACGTCATCATCTGGCCCTGCAGAGAGCGTAGAGGGGGGGATCACTGCTTTCTTAGCAGTTTGCCTTAACGTCGATGACTGATTTCAGGCTCTTTGGCTGGTAAAACCACAAAAATCCTTTCCTAAAATCCCCTTGGGATACTCTGAATAGGAATGCTTTTCTGGTAAATAAGGTCAGATCAGTATCTGGTTTGTACAAGAGGTTTAGTAATCCCCTCGTATACGAGTGATTTTTCTGACAGATTTGATGGCCAGGAGTATTGTTTTCACAGTGCAAAGAAGGCACCGCACCCCGTATCATGGCAGTAGTGTTTCCTGCCCCGCTCCCAGTGTAGCTGAGCCTGAAGTTTCGAGAGCAGGAGCTGTCAAGAAATAAACCATGGCTTGCCAGTTGGAGAGTGCTGGCTGCTGAGATGGATTGAGTGTGCCCAGCGAGATGTGGTGAAGTCTGTCTGTGGACACCTCCTCCTGTGAAGGCGAAAAGCAAAACTCCTCATTACCTCTCGTTATTCTCTGTGGCTCCTGATGCAGATTCAAACCCAGCGTGGTGACTCCCGGCCTGACTACCACCACCAGGAGCCGTCGGGGCTCTCTTGGTGCCAAAGCTCTTTGGTATTTCTGTGCCTACCCCTTCCCTGAAGAGCAACATCAGTGCTCCAAGTGCTACTCTAGGCTCCTCTCTCCGAAAGGATGCTGTGAGCTGCTGACCTCTAATAGCACAGACAGACAGATGTTCCTCAGACACCTTCCTTTGCCTTTCAGGAGCTACTGCTGCTGGTGGCAATGCTTTTTCGCTACCACATTGGCAGGAGAGCACCTAGATCTGCCAAAATCTGGAAAATTCCCTCTTCATTTGATACGATGCTTAGGAGGAAACCATCGGTGTGGAGTTATTGCACCCGTAGACAGGGGGTGCTTGGGTTGGACACTAGGCAAGCGGTGGGAGACCCTCGCACCTCAATTCTGGAAGGTCTCTGCTGTGAAGGAGATCAGCTTCCCCCTGTCCGCCCCGCCGAAGCCTGGCTTCAGGCAGAGCAGAGTGGCACTCACACCTACATGCTATCGTTGAAAGTAAACCTAACTTCTCCAGGCTTTAATTGCAGCCAGAAATTGGGGTGGCTCTGCAGAAAATGTAAAGAGGGAAACTGTGCATGACTTGTGGGTTGGGTTTTTGGTTTTGGTTTTTTTTTTTTTAAGGAATGTCTGTTCAATTAACTTGTTTTAATGACTAATCTGTGTTGTTGCTTCCAGGTCAGGGGTCATCACATTGCAAAGCTTGATCCTCTCGGCATTAGTTGTGTAAATTTTGACGATGCGCCAGTAACTGTTTCTCCAAACGTCGGTGAGAATTACTCTGCAAATTAATTCTAATGTAATTTAACTTTTTTACCCCTCCCCTCTTGTTTTTCTCCCTTTCCCCTCTCCCTCTTGGTACCTGTTCTCCTTTCTATTCCTGGCCCATTTCATAGATTCGAGGGCATCATGTAGCACAACTCGACCCACTGGGCATCTTGGATGCAGATCTGGACTCCTCCCTTCCAGCCGATATTATCACATCCACAGACAAACTGGGTGAGGGCTTTGAGAGCAGTTAGTGCTGCATTGCTTGAGCTCCTCTCTCTTTCACAGCTTTGTAGGTAGATTGCTTCACCAGTAAGGGGGGAAAGGTCTTAAGTTTCCTTAGTAATGATCACTCTAAATTTATAGTCGACCAGCTGCTGTGGAGCAGTTCTGCCCCCCTCTGGCTGTCACGGCGAATGGGTCTCGTGTCAAAACCTTATTGCTCGGCTCACGTTTCTCCTCCAACCAGTGCCACTTAATTATGTCATTGAACTCGCTCATCCAGGGGTGGAAGCAATTGCACCTTCTGGAAATGCAAAGCAGAGAGGTTTTGTGTTGGTGAGAGCTGGAGGTCTGTTCCCTCAGCTCCTCTTGCCGCTCTTGGCGGACCGGAGAGCTGGGGTCAGTGGGCTGGCTTTGCCTCTGCAGGGCTGGGAAGCGCCTCTTGGTGTGCCCCTGTGACGATGCCATGCCCTCCTTCGCTCCCAGCTTGCTGCAGCATCTGTAAATCCCTTAACTGCCCCCTTTTCCAAGACTGAGCTATGAGTCCCTGCCAGTGATCATAACAAGGAAGCTTTGGGATGCGTTCCCATCCGAGTAGAGAGGTGGAAATCCCAATGCCTTCGAGCGAAAGATGCATGAGTGTTGCACAGAAGTGTGTGTGGTGCCTAGGACTTGAAATCCTAATCTGAAAGTGCTTAAACTCAGCACCTCTCAACGTGCTTTAGATTTGATCTCTGTAGTACGCTGGCATTTTTCTAGCTGGAACGAGGTCGCAGTGCTGAGCTCTTTCTCCTTGCTGGTGCTTTCCAAGGGTTGTTACCCTGGCACTATGAACGCTCGAGAGGCATGCTTCTAACTTAGAGTAGAGCAGCAGTAATGATTACTAACCTTGCACAACTGAAACAGCCGATCAGAGCATATGGTGCATGTAAATGATCTTGATTCCTTGTTCAGCTGCCAGCACAGGGACACCAGCCCTGGACCTGCTGGACCTTCATACAGGATTATGTGTACTGGGAGTGGTAGGGAAGGGTTAGGTTTTGGTTGTCCCAGCTCGCTGGATGATGGGGAAGCTGCTTCATCCCCAGGTCTGGACTTCTGACGCGCTTGTCCAGAGGACCAAGCCCTGGCTGTGCCTCGGGAGCTGGCCGGCTCTGGGTTGGAGCAAGCCCTGTGCCTGGGAGGTTGTGATGGGAAGAGGTGGGGAGATGATGGCCATGAACCCACGCTCAGGAGTGGACACAAGTACTCGTATTCGGCACTGTGATGGGAGCGGGGAGGCTTTTTTAGTTGACTTTGAAGCCACTCCCAGGGGCTGGGGAGAGGAAGGGTTAAGGAAAGCCTTTTCTAGCTCAGGGGTTTTGGCCTCTGCTGTGGGCGCTATGGTCCTCCTGAAGCAGAGCAGCAGGGGAGCATCCATCCATCCATCCATCCATCCATCCATCCCCCAGTCTGTGCTGGGACTGGGGATTGCCCTGACCCTTGCACTTGACCTTGTTGGATGTCATGAACTTCACATGGGCCCACTGCTCAAGCCTGTCCAGGTCCCTCTGGATGGCATCCCTTCCCTCCAGCGTATCAACCGCACCACTCAGCTTGGTGTCACCCGCAACCTGGCTGAGGGTGCCCTTGATCCCACTATCCATGCCATCGATGAAGATACTAAACTGTATTGGTCCCAGTACGGACCCTTAAGGAACACTGCTCCTTACTGGTTTCCACTTGGACATTGAACTTACGGGACTGCTTCAATGGGGAGAGCCAGTTCAGAGGCTTTTCTTCTGCTTTGGCCGTGTGGTTCCTCTGAAGCAAGGCGTGCTCCAGTGGTGTCCTTGCTTCAGAGGCAGAAAAGCCCAAGAGCCCTAAGCGGTCCAAGAACAGGTCCTCCCTTGGAGCCCCAGCTGTAGAGCTGGGCTGACAGCATTGTCTCAGCTGTACCAGAATCTGGGTAAAGCAGTATAAGTGCCATTTTTCCTGCTCCCCCAGGGTGAGCGGTCATGAGCCCAGCAGCGTGACCCAGCCCTGCTCACTGCGGTGGAAAGTGTTCAGGCACGGCTGGTCCATAGGCATCAGCTGGAAGAGAATCTCAGCCTGCGATCTCCATGTCTGAGCCAGGCGTTAAGTTTAATTTCTGTTTCTTTGTGGCTTTCATACTAAAGTGTCTGTCATTGCAGTTCCTGGTGTTGATTTAATTACCAGGAATCCATTAATCCATAGGAAATAACGAGTTCTGGGAACAAGCTGTGCTGGTATCAGCCGCTAGCGCATGTTGGGGTTATGTCCCATGGTAGGACCCCAGACTCAAATGGCTGTGTCTAATCAAAGGAGGCTTTATTATCTTGCTGTAAGTATTACTTATACTGAATAGACTTTCCCCTGGTATCCTCATCCTGGAAAACCTCATCTGGTCGATCTTAAAATACAACTTGGCGAGCATAGCTTGCAAACAGCGCTCAGCAAGAGGGGAGGAGAGCAGCGCTGGTGCAGAGCGTGGGCAGAGCTCTGGCCGAGCCTAAGATCGGGTATTGCCTGCTTGTGGCAGAGAAAGCCAATTTCTAAGGAGATCCTGCTGTCTTTTTTTGCTTTGAAAGAGTATTTCTTAACACTTGACAGAGCAGTTAATAACAGGAGTGGTTTTGAAACTTGGAAACAATCTTGTTTCCTCTTTCTGAACAGTGAAATCCTTAAAGGTCAGCTTTTGTGGTGCAAGATCTGCTGCCAACAGCTTAAACTGTGGCCGGGCAGTGCTGTAATTCAAAGGAATTGCATGGTTAATCTTGGAAATTGATCTTTCTTCTCAATTGCCTTTTGTTTAGCAACTGGTTGGTGTCTGGTTTGGAAGCTGTCTTCGGATTAAGCGGTGTGAGCTTTGGAGAAAATGCCAGGCAGGGAAAGCCCGCCTGGGGGTACTCAGTCTGATGAGTGGTGGGGCTGGAGCCACCAAATTCCTCTTTCTCTTGTCTTTTCTTTTTAAAAAACAAAATAATCTCATCCTGGTCTTCTACTGGAGCTAATCTGACATGGTAAGTGGTGTAAAACAAGGACAAGATGACTGCAGGAACTTGATGTGACCTGTCCAAGGAAATAATACCTTAGCACGCTGAAATCCATGTGGTGCGTGGAAGTTGGTGTGTGTCTGAGTGTCCGTCTGTCTGTCTGTCTGTCTCTCCATGGAAGGCAGCTGCTCCTGCCTCTTGCCCAGGGGAATTGGTGGAAATCGTCCTCCAGCTTGGGACGAGCCAGGCGAGCCCCTGCGAGGAGATGGGCTGCCACCTCCCCTTTCCCCAGTTTGAGACCTTGCTAACCAAACTTCTCACCTAAACATATGATTTTTCCCCATTGACCAAAAAGAGAAGCTTTTCCAAAGCCTTTCTGGTAACCCAGGTGAGATTGAGGCACTCAGGTCACCTAACCTAGCCACGGAACGCAGCTCTGGCGATGCATGGTGCCTGCCACTCCGGCAGCCCTGCCTGCATCCGGCACGGTATCCCGGTACTCCCGCCTGCGCCGAGCACGCTTGAGAAATGACCGTGTTGCGCGTGCCTGCCTCGCCGTTGGTCTTCCTCATTAACAGCCTGCTCGTTAACACCCCGATCCCCCTCCTGCCTCCCTCCTGCCTGTGTGTAGGCAGCAGTGACGCCTCCTTGGGAGTGACCTTGAAATCCTCCCGGTAGCAAAGGAGCAGAGCAAAAGCCTCTGGGAGCAGATGTCGGTGGGAGGCAGCTCCCTGCTCTGCCAGAGGATAACGCTCCCCTTGATGCAGCCTGACGGAAGGATGCCTTTTGGCTGTAGCAGGTGAAGGCACCGTGCTGGGTGGTCTCCCTTTCCTGTCTGAGGTGTGCACGCAAGAGGACATCTCAAACCATGCAGCTCAACTGCTCCCCAGTGTCTGATGCCTCCCCGCTCCCCTCCCTGCTCCTCCCTCCTCTCACCAGACTTTCCACCGGGATTTCTTTTCTGCCTAGTTGGTAGTCATCCTCCATCCCAACCCTTTTGCCTCTGATGGTTTTTGACTGTATTTTAAATCCTGTATTTTTTTGACTTGTGCTTTCCATGACTAGTTTTCACGGTTCCAGGTTTTTTTTTTTACTAACTTTGACTGCGTCTCTCTATCTTCTCCCTTTCTGCACCCCTTTCCCTGCCCACCCCAGATCTCGCAGTGTTCAAGGAGCGGCTGAGAGTGTTAACAGTAGGAGGTATGCAATTAATGAGCCTTTAACCCTCTGGAGTGCAGGACTCTCTTTGAATAGGTTATTCTGGGCATGAACCAAGCCGGTAAAGTGGTCCCCCCCATCTTGCACCACTCTTGAGTTTTGTAACGTGTTTATTTTTCATTTGTCCCACTAGAAGTCTCAATGTAGGCACTTGGTTAGTGATGCTTCACCTGTAGAGATTCCCAGTGTAGAGCCTCGCTAGCCTTTTCCATACTGTGTGTTTGCATGCCTAGCTTGCTAGAGTACATGTTTTGTTGTGAACATTAATTTTACGAGGCCTCAATATCCCTGATTGGTTTGAGTCTCCTAAAAATCCAAGCTGTCTTCTCCTGACTCTGCCCTGGTTCTGTCCCGGTGAAAATTTGGCAGCTCATCTGTAGCCTTCCCCGCATCTGATGGTATTGCTGCCTATAAATACTCAGCACTGTCAAAAAAGCTGGCAGGTTGCAGCAAAGCAGAAGCAGAGATGCTTAGAGCCCTGAAAACTCCTTGTAAAATCTGATACCCCCCAAAGTGTGCCTGAGTCTTCAAACCGGCATGACAGAGCGAGCCGAAGCCCTGTGCTGTGGGGGCTGGGAGCCACAGCAAATTACCGAGGCTTCCCTGAAACCTCCAACTAGCAGCTTATCTGGGATGCTCCGTACTAATGCCGCCTCTCTCCGTGACTTCTGTTTGGATAGGAACCACAGAGAAGTCCTGGAGACATGGGGCCAAGCCCTCAGCTCCTGCTAGCGTTAAGCGCTCCCAGGCACGGCTCCAGTGGATCTGGCTTAATTCCTTCCCCTGGGATTAGCAGCGTCCAGGGGGGTGATGTGGGCAGAGGAGGGGATGGACGGCAGCGGCAACCAGGAAGACCTTGGCTCTGGGCTTGCTGTGGGTGTTCCCCGCTTCTGGCAAGCGCTGTCCTTGAGGCTGCACAGGGATGAGCTGTGGCCAGCGCTGTCTCCAGCTCATCCTCCGTTCCTGACCAGAGGGCAAGGGATAGACTCTTTGAAGATTAAGTTCAAGGAGGGCCAGCTCTGCAGGGGCCAATTTTTGCCTCCCTTTGCCTGGAGGAAGGTGGGTTATGCTGCCCTGCAGCATTTAAGGGGTGGCATTCCCCATGCCCTGCCAGAGAGACCCCAGCTGAGGCGTTGGCATGGTTTGGAGGGAGCCGGGAGGAGTGGGGGTAACTCTGCCTCCTCTGTGGCTCCTGCCCTGGGCCAGAAAACACCTTGAAACCTGGCCTTGTTGGGAGTGGGCAGCTCCACTCATCCACCCTCCTTCCAGCCAAGCTCCGGCTTCAAAAGGGTCTTGGGACTCCCCAGTCCCCTTCCCAGCTCTGCTTCTGCCTTGCTGCATCGGTTCAGCGAGTTGTCCCTCCTCCTCCTCCGTGCCTCAGTTTCCCCAAAGACAACCATGAGCTTCAGCGGGCACCGAGGCAGCTCTGATGTTCTGGGGTACTGTGGAGCTGCTGCAGGACCTGCCCGTGCTGTAACAGCAGCAGGCGGCGGCGGGGCTCACCTGCGGCTCTGAAACCTGACGTTTGGCTCTGAGCCCTGCTCGGCACCTTCTCCAGGCGCACCCAGCTCCCCACAGCCCCGCGTGCCGTACGTAGGAGCCGCCTACTAACCACGAGGTGCCAGCCCCAGAAAGGAGGTGGTTTGCTGAGCAGAGCTAGGCTAAACCCCTAATTAAAAGGCTGTTAATTGGGTGAGGGGGTATCTGGGCAGCAAAACCCCCGAGGGGCTGGTTGGCTGCCCCGCTCCCGGGCTGAGCTATTCAGGAGAGTCCATCGCAGAGCCCTGATGCCGTTTTCTCTCTCTTGCTTCTCTTTCTCTCCCTCTTTGGGGTTTGTCTGTTTTAACTGTTTCCTTCTCTGCCTTGACTCTTCATTTTCACTTGCCACCATGTGGTGACACCTCTATTGTGCTCGGTGACTCCTCAATTCCTCTGTTTCTTTTCTCTCCCCTCTGTTATAATTTGTGGTGTATTTTTTGTGTTCTTGGGGCTACAAACTTCCTGACTCTCACCCTGGATTTTTTTAATTACCGATTTACATGCGTATATATATTGCTTGGTGTTTCGTTTCCTGTGTTACTTTTCGTAATAACCTTGTTGTTCTGTGCTTAATGTCTTTTTGTTTAATTACGGCTTGGTTTTTATCCATATAAACCTCCTTCATGCTTATTTTTGGTTTTATGCTGCTTTTTTTTGTCCCTTCCCCACCTCTCCCAAATGCACCCGGTCCCTGTGTGACGGTGTCCCCCCGTTCCCCTTCCTTCCTTCTCTCTCTTGCTTTTGCTTGTCCCACCCATGAAAAATCCTGCAGGCTTTTACGGGCTGGATGAATCTGACCTCGACAAGGTCTTCCACTTGCCCACAACCACTTTCATCGGTGGAAATGAATCAGCTCTTCCACTCCGAGAAATCATCCGTCGGCTGGAGGTGAGGAGGGCAGGGAGGGCTCTGTGAGACCCGTTTGCAGCCTGGGACAGGGGCAGAGCAGTTGCTTTTTGGAGGCCTTGTCGCTGCTTGCAGCCTGGGCCAGCCTGCAGATTTTAAGCTTTTCAGGTTGGGAGCGGCTCCTCGGTGCTTGCTCCACTTGTAGCAGCCGCCCCATGTTACCTAGTCATCTCTGACCACCTCCAGCTTCATGTTGCCTTGGGGCAACACATTTGGTCTACCCAACGTGGAGCAAACCCCAGGCAACTAAATACTACATTTCTGGAAACCTTTGCAGCTCCATTTTCCAGTTTAAAGCAGCAAACAGTGCTGGGAAAGCACAGGAGCAGGCTGGAAGCAGGCGATACCCTGCTCTGTGCACTGCAGCAGTGCTGCTGCCCTGCATGGTGGCCCCTTGGAGGGTCTCAGGGCAGGAGCAGCTCCAACCTGGGACTGGGGCTTCCGGCTCTTGCAGCCAGTTCCTCTCTACTGCCAAATTTCATACCCTGCTCTACCCAGTCTGAGAGCACAGACGGCTCCTAGAGGCAGGCTGCAGGCTTCTCAGATGGTCTCTGCTGAGATAGGTTGACCTTGGGAGAAGCAAAGCTGCGTCAACATCTTGGATAAGCTGCAAGAATGGGCTCCTTATTTTTTGGGGGGGGTTGTTTTGCTGATTCTCTCCCCGCCATATGAAGTGGGGTTGTGGACCTGGTCACAGCTGATGCCACCGAGAGGGCAAATCTCACCTCCGAGGTGGATGTAAAGGACTTGAGGGCCTGATCCTGGGCCCCTTGGGGAAAGGGAATTAAACATTTTGATGTTGGGTCATGTGTAGGGTCTGAGCTGCCCCACAGCATCCCAGGACGTCCCCTGCAGCATCCCTTTTCCCAGGAAAATGGCTCAAACCAGCCTTCCAAAACGGGGCTGGCACAGTGCTGGCTGCCGGTTTTTTTTCCCCCCGGGCTGCCGTTGCAGGCGGCACTTGCTGGTGTTCAGGCAGCTCAGTGCGGCTGCCAGGCAGGAGGGTTTGTGTCTCTGCTGGTGCCGGAGGGCTCTTTGTCTTGCTGAAAGGTTAAAGAGGGGAATGAAAGTCCCTGGCCCCGTGGTCTGATAAGATGCTGCACGTGCCTGTCTTTGCGGGGGGTGAGGAGGTGTTAAAGCCCTGGCTGTTGTCTCATGGCCCTTCTTCTCCCATCGGGGCAGATGGCGTACTGCCAGCACATCGGCGTGGAGTTCATGTTTATCAACGACCTGGAGCAGTGCCAGTGGATCCGGCAGAAGTTTGAGACCCCGGGCATCATGCAGTTCACCAACGAAGAGAAACGCACGCTGCTGGCCAGGCTGGTCCGTTCTACCAGGTACCCCGGGGGGGTCTTCACCTTCCCTTGCTGCATGGGGTAGTTTGCTCCCAGCTGGAGGGACGTGGTCACCGCCTGAGTCACATCTTGACATCATCTGTCGCAGTCGGCTTAATCAGCAGGGTGACGCCACTGAGCTGCTGGGCTGGCAGGCTCAGGTGCTGGCAAAGAGCCTGAAAGCATGATCCTGAAAGAAAAGGTCTAAAAATAAGGTTTAAGTGCAGCACGTGGGGTGTGTGGTGGGGGAGCAGCCAGCCGGGCTCTGTGGGAGACCAGGGTGACCGGGAAGGCTGTCAGGCTGCTGCATGACGCCTGCTTAAGCATCACTGGGTGCTGTGGCTCCCTCGGTGCGGTCCCCATCCTTTCTCTGGTTTCTGCCCTCAGCTGTAGCCCTGGCACTGATCCCTCTCTCCCTTTGCCTTCCAGGTTTGAGGAGTTCCTCCATCGGAAATGGTCTTCGGAGAAGCGTTTTGGTCTGGAGGGCTGCGAAGTGCTGATCCCAGCCTTAAAGACCATTATTGATAAGTCGAGTGAGAAGGGAGTGGATTATGTTATCATGGGGATGCCCCACAGGTAACCCTGCCTCCCTTCGCAGCAGTGCTTGGGATGCAGAGGAGGGGGATGCTGACGGGGTTCAGTAGCGGAGGGCACACTGGTTCCTGCCATCACCTAAATGGTCTCAGGGGGTGGTGAACCTTAGCTGGAGAGCTTAGGCCTTGGCTGCTCTCTGCTCATCACGTTTTCAGCTTCAGTTCATTTGTAAATTCATCTGGAGAGGGGTGGTGGCTCAAGCAGCGGAGCTTGAATCCCAGAGCAGGATTTGGCCTGCCCGTTCTGGGGCAGCTGTCAGGATGCGGCAGCGGCCAGTCCATCCCTGGGCTGAGGGTTCTGCAGTCTTCTTCTCAGATGAACTGTAGAGCCCCCTCCCCGGCTGACCCTACAGCCGTCGCTGGAGTTGTCGCACACCTCTGTGTGACAGGGGGGTGGCAGGTCACTGTCGGCACTTGATGCCAGGCTGGCGCTGCTGGTTGCCAACCATGGTCTTGCTTTTGCAGGGGACGCCTGAATGTTCTTGCCAATGTGATCAGGAAAGAGCTGGAGCAGATCTTCTGCCAGTTCGACTCCAAGCTGGAGGCTGCTGATGAGGTGAGTCGTCTCCTCTGCCTGTAGCAGGTTGCTGTCGCCTGTCCGCATGCGGTCCCCGAAGGCTGTGGCCGTGCAGCGTGAGCTGGATTCTGCCACTGCTTGTGGTGTCACTCGGTGGCATTGGTGTTGCAAGGATTTCCACGTTGCATGCACGCTCGTGTGACTGAAGCCTTCGTGTCGGTGCCAGTGCTTGTCTTGGGACACCTTGCCTGTCCCAGGGAGTGCTGTGGCCACTGCTGATGTCTCCAGCGCAGGCTGGGTGGTCAGTGGCTCTCCATGGGCGTGAAACAGGCTTGGGGGCGTGAAACAGGCTTGGGGTGAATGATGAGGTGAGGGGAAGGCGACCAGGAGCAGAGGTTGGCTTGTGCCCTTGCAGCAGCCCCTGGTCCCCGTATGGGGCCCTAAAGCAGCTCCAAAAGTCCCAAGGCTCGAATTGCTTGTGCCGCAGGCTCTGTCACTGCGATGCACTCGTGCTTCAAAGCTTCCAGCATCATAAGCCAGGATGATTTGGCTTTTGGAAAGCTGGGCTGGGCTGGCTTTATCCTGTCACGCCCTTCAGGTGGGGTTTTGAGGTGAGAAGGCAGCAGCCTGGGGCGTTGGTGCCCCAACTGGGAACTGCGGCGTTTTGCGAGCGATGCCAGGGATGGCTGTACTGTGGCAGTGCAGGCAGAACTTGGGCGAGCATTACTCCAACTCTGTTTTCCAGTGTCTCCCCCAAACCCACCACACTTGCTCCTTCCCCTGCACCTATGTCCTTACCTAGATAGGCTTGATGTGTGTCTGAGGTTTGTTGGCAGTTTGGTACCTGGAACAGGCTACTTTTGCTTTGCTGAATGCCAGGTCAGCTCCTAAAGTGGGTGCCTGCTGCTTTCTGCCAGTGCCTCTGGAAAATGCCCCCTTTTCCCAGCACCTGGGGTCAGGGCTGCCTTGCCTCAGGTCTTCTTCCATGACCCAAAAGCCGCTCACGTTCCTGGGGTGACTCTTCTCTCCTCTCCCCTCCGTCAGGGCTCCGGTGACGTGAAGTACCACCTGGGAATGTACCACCGGCGGATTAACCGCGTCACCGACAGGAACATCACCCTTTCCTTGGTGGCAAATCCTTCTCACTTGGAAGCAGCTGATCCCGTTGTTCAAGGCAAGACTAAAGCAGAGCAGTTTTACTGTGGGGACACAGAAGGGAAGAAGGTGAGTGGTGCTGAGATGCCTGCAGTGAAGTGGCCCGGGCTGGATGGGGCTGGTGGGAAAGTGAGGAAACCCAGATGGTTTTCATTTGCCATGCCCCTTCCCCTGCCATCACCCCGCTGTCACCCTGACTTTGCTCCCCCATCCTTCCCCACTGTCTTTGGGGATAACTTCAGTAGGGGCTCACCCAGCCCGGGCTCCCATTGCTGCTTTCTCTGTCTCTGAATGACCGTCTCGGCCAGGCTGCGGGCAGCAGCAGATGCCCAAATCCCTGGTTGGAAAGCAGGGAAGTGAGGAGCGCTCCCAAAAGCCAACCCAAGCATTACAGCTCGGGGGGCTCGGTAGTAGGAGCCTCAAGCTGAAGGATCTTGATGTGACCAGGGATAACCATTCCTGGGGCTGGGAAAGCTGGAGCCGGTGGCAGGAGGCAGCTCTCCGCACCCAGGTGGGAGAGCAGGCAGGGAACGGTCTGTGGTGGGGAGTTTATTGCGGTCTGATTCATCACAGACCTGTCTCCAACACCAAGAAGTGGAAGGGTGAGATTGAAAGTGCTTCCCTTCCTCCTACACCCCAAGGGCTGGATATAAATAGACAAACTTTGTCCTCGTCTGACAGGCGGCATCCTCAGCCAGCCCCTGGGTATGATAGCAAAATAACGTCACCAAAGCTGGAGCGAGCTCCCGGCCTGGCTCCTGCCCAAAGGTCTTCTGGGGTGAAAGCGTGGGGGAAAGGGGCATTTTTCTCATCTTCCCCTAGTTAGAAAAAGGCTTTGCTTTGGGACACGTGTGTTTGGGAATGGGACTCTCCTCCCAGCCGCTGTGCACCGGGTGCCATCCTGCTGCCTGATCGAGGCGCCCCGCGTGTGCCACCCTTGCTCGGGGGGAGAACTGGTGGCTCCAGCCTTCTCCCTGGCAGTTGTGCCAACCATGGCCGGCTCCACTCCAATCCCCTGAGAAAGAAAGCGTCGGATGCATTGACGAGCTGTTCTGTGTCCCTTCTGGGATGCCGAAGGCTCGTGGGGATGAGCCTTGGGCCCTTCCCTGGTGTCTGTCCCTGCCTGCCATCCCCGCAGAGCCCCTGCTGACCACCGTGGCTTCATGTCTCCCAGGTGATGTCCATCCTCCTGCACGGAGACGCTGCTTTCGCTGGGCAGGGCATCGTGTACGAGACATTCCACTTGAGCGACCTGCCCTCCTACACCACCCATGGCACTGTGCACGTTGTGGTGAACAACCAGGTGAGGAGCAACTCCCCTGCATCCACGGGGGCCCCTCACAGACCAGCCTCTCCAGCCTTGGGTCTGGATGGTAGCTGGCAGCAGGCAGTAGCTGTTTCCCAGCCAGTGTTCCTGGCATGACCCATAATCCTGGGGTGAGCAGGGGGTACTTTATACCCAGCTGCTCAACAGTAGCAGCTTTTGAGTCTAGCCTGGTGCAGAGGTGGTGCAACCTGATGCTCAGCGTGCGAGATCACGCAGGGCTGCTCCATTCTGCCCCTGCATAAACCAGAGATATTTCACTGGGACCAGCCCCTTTCACAGGGACCTGTGGGTGCCACGGGATGACAGCACAGGCGCAGGGACCGGGACATGCTGTGGTGCCCAGGACAGGCAGGTTGTGCTATGGCTGAGCAGCGCAGCCATGGGGAAACTCCCAGCTCAGCCGCAGAAGCCGAGCTGCCCTCAAAGCTGCGTGTGCTGCTTTCCAAATCCTTACCACTGTGCTGGTCCTGTTCCCTCTCACCTGCTACAGATTGGCTTCACAACAGACCCCCGGATGGCCCGCTCCTCCCCGTACCCGACCGATGTTGCCCGCGTGGTGAACGCGCCCATTTTCCATGTCAATGCGGACGACCCGGAGGCCGTTGTCTACGTGTGCAATGTGGCAGCAGAGTGGCGAAGCACCTTCCATAAGGATGTGGTGGTGGATTTGGTAAGAAATGTGCCACGAGGCTTTATCCTAAAGCTGTGGCTCTGCTGTGGGTGCTCGTCGATACCTCTCGGGGTGTATTTTCTCAAAGCTGAGGTTTCTCTTCAGGACTTGTCTGGCCTTTTTGACATGAGGGGAGGGAGGAGGTGGCGTAAAGCGAGGCAATGAGGCTGTAATAGCACTTGGAGAGGCAACGCTGCCTGTATGGAGCCTGCCCTCGCCTCCCGCATTGGGGGGGAAACGCTTGGGTCCCTCCTGGGCTGTTTCAGACCCTTCCTAGCACAGGTACTTCCGACTGCTTTCGGAGCTGTGGGTTGCAAGCAGCTGGTTTCAAAGGCTCTTTCGCCTCCCGGCAGGTTTGTTACAGGCGCAATGGTCACAATGAGATGGACGAACCCATGTTCACGCAACCCCTGATGTACAAACAGATCCGGAAACAGAAGCCGGTGCTGCAGAAATACGCAGAGCTGCTGATTTCCCAGGGGGTGGTAAATCAGCCTGAGTATGAGGTACTGTCCCTTGGGGCCTGGGAGGAAAACTGTGGGTGGCATCTCCAGGGAAAACTGCTTGTTTGGTTCAGTCCTGAGTGTGAACGATGCGAGGGGGCCTGTTTCTGCTTGTGCTTGTCGCCTAAAGGTGGCAGAGCTGTGCTAGGGTTGGGTGAGCGCTGCAGACCTGGCAGCAGTGGGGTTAGGAGCCAAGGCTCGTCCTTGGACTGTGCCAGCTCTGAACAGCACAGGAACATCTAGTTCAAGGACTGCCCCGTGATCGGTGCAGTGCAGACCACATGGCGCTGGGCCACTGCAGCACGCCTGGGACCCACAGGAGAGTTGGTCTCTGCAGCACTCGGGCTCGCTGTGGCCTGGGGATATCTGGGGCAGGTCCCCTGCCCCCCATTCTCCCACCCTGGCAGCAAGTGCAGCAGCAGCTCTGCCAGCTCTTCCTTGCCCTGGTACCACTTTGTAGCATCTTTAGGGTTGAATGCGTGTTGCCGGTTGGGATGGCAGCAGAGCTGTCCCTTGGGGGACGGGGGCCTCCAGCAGCAGCTCTGCTCTCTAAGGCTGAGCTGCGCAGCCCTGGGGCTCCCCTGCTGTGGGGACCAGCTGTGCCCTCCAGCACGTTTGCAAGCTCGCACCAAGGCCCCCAGGCTTGGCACCCTTGTTTGGAGACCCCTCGCTAATGCTTTTCCACTTCCTGGTTCTACCTTTTAGGAGGAAATTGCCAAGTACGATAAGATCTGTGAGGAGGCCCATGCGAGATCCAAGGACGAAAAGATCTTGCACATCAAGCACTGGCTGGACTCACCCTGGCCTGGTAAGTCACTAGCAACGTTTTGGAGGTCCCTAGCAAAGAGCCTGGCTTCTCTAGAGCCGTGGCAGCTATTTTCTAGTAAACCACGCTGGTGGGGAGGTGGGGTGGTGTTCTCTGCTCCCAGCATCCCCACCCTTGCTTGAGGGTGTCCGTGACCTGAGCTCTTCACACAGAGCTGGGCATGGCTCCCACAACATAGTGGACTGCTCCTCCTCCTGCAGGTTTCTTCACTCTGGATGGCCAGCCCCGGAGCATGACCTGCCCTTCCACCGGTCTGAATGAAGAGGACTTGACGCACATCGGTCAAGTGGCCAGCTCGGTGCCGGTGGAGGATTTCACTATCCATGGAGGTAAGGGCTTGCGGAACCTGTGCCAGACTGGGCGTTTGTTCCAGAGAAGATGTGGGATAGGGCTGGAACGTAGCCTGGAAGGAAGAGACCTGTTACAGTGCTTCGATATGTGTGGCCAGCAGGTCGAGGGAAAGGATTGTCCCCCTCTACTCTGCTCTCCTGAGACCCCACCTGGAGCACTGCGTCAGCTCTGGGGTCCCCAGCACAAGACAGACATGGACCTGTTGGAGAGGGTCCAGAGGAGGCCACGAAAATGATCCCAGGGATGGAACAGCTCTCCTGTACAGAAAGGCTGAGAGATCTGGGGGCGTTCAGTCTGGAGAACAGAAGGCTCCGGGGAGACCTGACTGTGGCCTTTCAGTATATAAAGGGGGCTTATGAGAAAGACAGAGAGAGACTTTTTACCAGGGCCTGTAGTAACAGGACAAGGGGCAGCGGTTTTAAACTGAAGGAGAGGGTAGGTTTAGATTGGACATAAGGATGGTGGTGCTACACTGGGACAGGTTGCCCAGAGAAGCTGTGGATGCCCCACCAGTGGAAGTGTTCAAGGTCAGGTTGGATGGGGCTTTGAGCAACCTGGTCTAGTGAAAGATGTCCCTGCTCCTGGCAGGGGGGTTGGACTAGTTGGCCCTTGAAAGTCCCTCCCAACCCAAACCCTTCTGTGAGTCTACAAGAATTAGTTCACAAAGGAGCTGCGGTTAAGGGAAGTGAACTGAGGAGTAGCTCTTCTTCAGAGCTACTCCCTCCCTGCAGTCCTGATTCCTCATCCCTGGTTCATCCCTCCAGCAGAGGTGGCTTCATTCCTCTGCCCCTGGGCATTTGCAGTCTGTCAGTCCATCGGCAGGTTGTGGGACAGACACAGTGTTGCTGGAGCTCCCTTCTGCACCAGCTACAAACCAGCTTCTGCCCTGGCAGGTTTAAGCCGTATTCTGAAAACCCGTGGGGAGATGGTGAAGAACCGGACGGTGGACTGGGCCCTGGCAGAGTACATGGCATTCGGCTCCCTGCTCAAAGAGGGGATCCACATCCGCCTGAGTGGCCAGGATGTTGAGAGGGGGACATTCAGGTAAAGCCGTGCTTTTCATGGCCGTAAAGGCGATTCCAGCCATTCCAGAAGGGACCCAAAGGGTGACGATGGAGTAATGCTTTCCCCTGTTCCAGCCATCGCCACCATGTCCTGCACGATCAGAATGTGGACAAGAGGACCTGTATCCCCATGAACCACCTCTGGCCCAACCAGGCTCCTTACACCGTCTGCAACAGCTCTCTGTCGGAGTACGGCGTCCTTGGTGAGCAAGGAGGTCTGCGCCTGCCGCCGCGGGGGGTGAGGCTGCTCTGGGAGGATAACCCCCTCGCTTCTCTCCCATCCTTCAGGATTCGAGCTGGGCTTCGCCATGGCAAGCCCCAATGCCCTGGTTCTTTGGGAAGCCCAATTCGGGGACTTCCACAACACTGCTCAGTGCATAATCGACCAGTTCATCTGTCCCGGGCAGGCCAAGTGGGTCAGGCAGAACGGCATCGTCCTGCTGCTTCCCCATGGCATGGAGGGCATGGTAAGGACCCCCCCAGCTCACAGGCACCCACGGGTGCCCTTTGCCTGGCTGGCACTAGAAGCAGAGCTGAGGGCAGCGGTGGTGGGTAGCACTGCTTGCGGCGTGGCCGTGCCCGGCACCGGCTTCTCATGCCGGCCTTGTCCCAGCTCTCCCCCCCTCACTCCCCCCTGCTTGGTCCCTGCAGGGTCCTGAGCACTCCTCCGCCCGCCCGGAGCGATTCTTGCAGATGTGCAACGACGATCCCGACGTCTTCCCGGTGAGTGGTGGCCGCGCTGAGCTCAGCCCGGCCCTCCTGTGTCCTGGATCCAACTGCTGCCTTGAAATGGGGAGGGGGGTGATAGTGCCTGGGTGGGCTCAGCATGGCGCTGCGGTCAGGGCGGGTGTCACGGAGCCAGTAGCAGGAGGCGTGGGACGCCCTGGGCTGGTGCTGCAGCCGGGAGGGTCTGGGGAAAGGGGCTGAACCCAGTGCCTAGGCTACACCTCCACTGCCCCTGGGGCTGCTGTGCAGCGTGAGGCAGAGGTGTCCCCAAAATCAGCTTGGGAGGCGGCTGCTGGCCACCCCTGTGGCTGCCCCAAGGTGGCTTGCCATGGCGAAGCCCAGCTCGAATCCTGAAGGATGGGAGAGAAGCGAGGGGGTCATCCTCCCAGAGCAGCCTCTCCCCAGTCTCCGTGGGTCTCCATGTGCTCCGGAGGGGGAGAGGAGAGAGGGAGGGCTGGGTGCCACTCTTCTCCCCGCTGCCGGAGCTGCGAGGCCAAGAGGCACCTTGTGTTTCTTGAAACCCTGTCGACCGCGCTCGCCGAGGCAGAAACTGGATGACTTCGACGTGCGCCAGCTCTACGACTGCAACTGGATCGTCGTGAACTGCTCCACTCCGGCCAACTTCTTCCATGTCCTCCGGCGCCAGATCCTCCTGCCCTTCCGCAAACCGGTCAGCGACGGCAGCGCAAACCGCGCCGGCCCGGCAGCTCTGCGCCGGCTCGGTGCCAAGGCAGGGCAGCTCCACGTCCCTTCCAAGCCTGGGGACGGGACTCGGGGAGGGCTTGTTCTCGCACCTCAGCAGCAAACACGGGCAGTTTGCCTCTGCCTGGGCCAAGGACCTCTTGGTGCTCGGGGTTGGTTTGGTACGTGACGTGCTGCTGGGCGGCTTGTG